TAGATGAGCATGTTGACTCAAAGATATGGTTCCTCGACACATGATGCTTGAATCACATGACTGGTCAAAGAGCGTGGTTAGCAGATTTCAACGAATCGAAGAAGAGGAAGGTCAAACTTGTTGATAATAGCTCATAACAATCAGAAGGTACTAGCAACATAGTTATTCAAATAAAGAAAAATCTATGATTAAATATGTACTCTATGTATCTGGAATGAAGTGCAATCTGGTAAGTGTTGGACAGCTGGTCAAAAAAGGTTTCTCAGTGGTTATGAAAGATGAGCTCTAGAACTGTTAGACACTCATAATAATATGGTCTTAAATGCTCCTCTGTTAAAGAATAGGACATTTAAGACTATGGTTAGTTCGAGTGAGGTACAATGCCTAAAAATAGTTGTATACCACAAGCATAGTTGGTTGTGACATTTGAAGTTTAACCATCTAAACTTTAGGTCACTCAATCAATTGATTTCTCAAGATATGGTAACTGGTATACCAAGTCTTATGATACCCGAAAAACTCTGTGAAGGTTGCTTAGTAAGGAAGCAATCAAAAAAATATTTTGATTTGACTATGCCAATAAGATCCTCATGCATACTAGAAGTAGTACATTCAGATGTATGTGATCCGTTTGAGGATCATACTATTAGTGGAAACATGTATTTTGTCTCATTTGTCGATGAGTATAGTCAAAAGATTTGGATCTATGTGATCAAGCGAAAAGACAAAGTATATGTATGTCATTTTGCTCTGAGAGTAGTCATGTTTCTCTCCATTTTTTCCATAGTGTTGTTATGAATGAACCACCCTGTATTAAGAAATATGAGTATATGAATTTGAAATTAAGAAATTGTTATTACATGTTTAATGTGTGTGTAGATCCTAAGTTACTTATTTTAGAATTTTCTTTAATTTATGAGGTTTTTGCTCGAAGTTTTATTGGACGTCTTTGGGGATGAGCTAGTCTAAGGGTTGGTACCTCTTCCCGAACCTAAGTGAAAACTTAGTCTGAGGTTGACATGTTGCATACTCATTCTGACCTCTGAATTGGCTAGCTACAAAGATGGGGTGGATCGATTATAGTCGATGTAGTGGTTTTCCACTTTCTTTGTGTGTGTGTGTGTGTGTGTGTGTGTTTGTGTGTTTTGCATCATGGAGTTTTAATTGCTTTAGTCATACGCAAATGGCATTTATGACAACACCCCCTAAGTCTTTGTGTTGGATCCCTAATCTTTTTGGTCGTACCCCGGACTCAGAATTACATTTCATGGTCCCAATGAAAGAGATATTTCAGAAGGATGTTTTATTCATTAAAATGGAAACATCATAATACATTAAAGTAAGGTAATTAATTATACTAAGAAACAATAAACATAATGAGGTTGTAAACATAACTAGGTGAGCTTGCCACCGGTTATTCACCTTACCTTTGTAGTTTGTTGAATCATCCACTCTTTGTTACTCAACTGGTATGACTTATTCTACCTGTGGGAGGTTAACTGTTTATGCTCCTTATTTATCGATAAGTCATTTTATATTGATCTCCATAGCCTTTCATTCTCATTCCTTTTGATATTGTTGCAATGCCTAGTAAATATTCTTGGCTCCTACGAGGTCAACATTGACTGAAACTGGTTCACCATGAATATTGTGGAGTTTTAAGTTAAGATGGACCAAGGAAGACACAACGTCTAGGCTTCTGTAAAGGGTATGTCGAGTATGGAGTTGTAGACACTCTTGCAAGGGACTATGAGGAATTGTGAGTCGACAGTCCTGACATCTTTCCATTCCCCTACTTAAATCCTCAATTCGATGTACCCCCAGGGACGGGTCATTGTGTAGTTGAATTCCTATAAGTCAGACCCCTCGTATGGCCAGAGTGCTTTCAGATTTCTTATTGATAACTATTAGCTCATGTATCTTTCTTTTCATTGTCCCTTTTGACGGGGCCCTTACGTGGGGGATACCTCTTGTAATAGCTCCAATATGTTAACGCTTTCCCTTGTGTACCTCATCTTCTTCACTAGATTCCTCTTTGTCTCTGGCCGCGACATAAACTATTTTGGTTGGGGATTTTCTCTTTGGCGATTCTTCTTGATCCATTTTTCTATCCTTAGTATATTCTGACATGCGGCCTTTTTTATCATACCAAATCATTGTGCTAATTTGTAATAGCTTTTGGAGTTGCAACTTGCAAGTAACATTTTTAACATGAATGAATAGGAAGCATTGTAAAGTAAGATACCACTTTCATTTACATGTTTCCTTCATGCATTGTTACTTGCACGTTGAGGTCAGTGAAGTCAACAGACATGCGCCATTTATTTGATGACTTTAATGTCAGAACTACGTTAGCTAGACAAGATGGGAACTTAACCTCGGTTATAAATCTGATGCTTCTCAACTTCTGAATTTCTTTATCAATGGTCACCCTTTTCTTACCACCCACCTTGAGTTTCTTCTAAGACACAAGTTTCACTATGGAATCAACAGTGAGTCGATGGAAGACCACTCTTGTATATATCCCTAGCATGTTAGAGGGAGCTCTAATGAACAAATATATGTTCCTCATCAACAAGGTGACCAACTCATCCCCCTCAAAATTAGATAGAGAAATGCTTAGCTTGGTGAATTGATGGTCTAAGGGCTCAATTCATACTTCCTTTAAGTCTTATATGGGAGCAAAGACAAAGGAGCGAGAAAGGCAAGGATAAAGGAGTAAACCTTGCATTTCAAGATTCGGATGATTATGGAGATATGGTGGTTATGGATGCAGTTGTAGATGAGAATGTTGACTCAAAGATATGGTTCCTCGACACATGATTCTCGAATCACATGACTGGTCAAAGAGCGTGGTTAGCAGATTTCAATGAATCGAAGAAGAGTAAGGTCAAACTTGTTGATAATAGCTCATAACAATCAGAAGGTATTAGCAACATAGTTATTCAAATGAGTAACAAAGAAAAATCTATGATTAAATATGTACTCTATGTATCTGGAATAAAGTGCAATCTGGTAAGTGTTGGACAGCTGGTCAAAAAAGGATTCTCAGTGGTTATGAAAGATGGAGCTCTAGAACTGTTAGACACTCAAAATAATATGGTCTTAAATGCTCCTCAGTTAAAGAATAGGACATTTAAGACTATGGTCAGTTCGAGTGAGGTACAATGCCTAAAAATAGTTGTATACCACAATTATAGTTGGTTGTGGCATTTGAAGTTTGACCATCTAAACTTTAGGTCACTCAATCAACTGATTTCTCAAGATATGGTAACTGGTATACCAAGTCTTATGATACCCGGAAAACTCTGTGAAGGTTGCTTAGTAAGGAAGCAATCAAAAAAGTATTTTGATTTGACTATGCCAATAAGATCCTCATGCATACTAGAAGTAGTACATTCATATGTATGTGATCCGTTTGAGGATCATACTATTAGTGGAAACATGTATTTTGTCTCATTTATCGATGAGTATAGTCAAAAGATTTGGATCTATGTGATCAAGCGAAAAGACAAAGTATTTGAAATCTTTAAGAGATTTAAGATGCTTGTCAAAAACCATAGTGAAAAGAAGATCAAGGTTTTGCAAACAGGCGGAGGTGGCGAATACACATCTAAGATATTTAAGGAGTTTTGTGCAGAACATGGTATTAATCATGAGGTAACTACTCCTTACACATCTCAACATAATGGAATAACATAAGGAAGAAACATGGTCATATTGGATATGGCGAGATGAATGTTGAAGCATAAGAATTTGCCAAAATACTTATGGGGTAAAGCAAACACCACTACTGTTTATATTTTGAACATGTTCCCTACAAATAAACTGAAGAACAAGGTTCTTGGAGAAGTATGAAGTGGAAAATGACCATCAGTGAGTCATCTGAAAGTGTCTGTCTCTATTTTCTACAAGCATGTTCCTGATGCAAGAAGAATGAAACTTGATGATAAAAGTGAGCCTATGATTTTAATAGTATATCACAAAAATAATATGGTGATGAGTCGAGACATTGTGATTGATGAGAACTCTGTCTGGAATTGGAATTCAGATGATGCAACTAATAAGTCATTGATGAGCTATGTCATTGATGAAGAAAGTAATGAGAACAAAGAAATTCCAGTAAAAAACACTCCAATCAAAGTCGAAGTCGAAGTTGAAGTAGGTAATAGAGAGGGTGTGGTTGGTGCAAGCCAAAGACCTCAAAGAACCAAAGTTCTCCTAGCAAGGCTTCAAGAATGTGAAGTGATTGGTGATGGTGAAGTTACATTAGATAAAGAACTGGTTCATTTTTCTTTACTTGCAGGTGTTGAACCAATCAACTGTAGCAAGGCTTTAAAGAATAAACAATGAAAGTCAGCTATGATTGAAGATCTACAATCGATTAAAAGGAACAACACATGGGAACTAGTCGAATTGCTAGCACATACAAAAGCCATTGAAGTGAAGTGGGTGTTCAAGCTGAAGCACAATCCTAAAAGGTTGATTGCAAGACATAAGGTAAGATTAGTAGCTCGGGGATTTCTTCAGAGAGCAAGACTCGACTACTCTAAAGTATATGCATTGATAGAAAGATTGGAGACTGTCATATTAGTGGTAGCCTTGGCATGCAGGCAAGGTTGATCGACATTTCACTTAGATGTGAAATCAATATTTTTGAATGGCCCCTTAGATGAAGTCATGTATGTCACACAACCTCTTGGGTTTGTGATACATGGGGAAGCAAGAAAAGTGTACAAGTTGCACAAAGCCATATATGTTCTCAAACAAGCACCTAGGACATGGAATAAGGAAATTGACTCATACTTAGATGAATTGGGATTCATCAAATGCAAGTCTAAGTATGGTGTATGTACAGGTTATGGCACAAGATATAACCACCGTCTGCTTATATATCGATGACTTATTGGCAACTAGAAATAATATGGAGAATTTGTCGAATTCAAAGAGCTGATGAAGAGGGAATTTGAAATATCGAATCTAGAAAACTTGTCGTATTTCCTAGGCATGAAAATTCAAGTCTCCAAGCAAGGTATGGTGTTGCATCAAAGGAAGTGTGTCAAAGAAATACTCAAAAGATTTAGGATGAATGATTTGAATCATGCATCTTCACTTGTCGAACCAAATCTAAAACTGGAGAAGCATGAAGAGGTGGACAAGGTTGATGTCACCTTGTTCAAATAAATTACAGGATCTCTAAGACATGTGTGCAAGAGTAAACCTAATATAGGTTTCTCATTCGAATTAGTAAGTAGATACATGAATCAACCAAAGGTGTCACACATGAAGATTGCAAGAAGAATACTAAGATACCTAAAAGGATCAACAAATTGTGGAATCCTGTTTCCAAGAGATTCCAAAAGCAAAGTAGTGATAAATTGTTATTCAGGTGTTGATTGGTGTGGAGACAAAGAAGATAAAAAAAAAGTATAAATGAATATTTCTTTCAAGTATTTGGTGCCCCAATCTCTTGGTGCTCGAGGAAGCAACTTGTGGTGGCATTATTATCATGTGAGGTTGAATATATAGCGGGATCCTATGCTACTTGTCAAGCAATTTGGATCAGATCTATGTTGGAAGAGATAGAGGTCGAAGTAAAGAAGCCTCTGATGTTGTAAATCGATAACAAGTCAACTATTAATCTTGCAAAGAATCCAGTTTTACATGGAAGTAATAAGCACATTGAGGCTACGTTTCATTTCTTGAGAGAGAAGGTAAATTAAGGTGAACTTGAAGTGAGACATTACTCAAGTGAAGCACAACTGACCGATATTTCCATCAAAGGATTCAAGATCAACATATTTCTAATTTTGAAAAAAAATAAGAGTAGTGCAAATCGATTATGATTAGTCTGTGTTCAACAACTTGAATTATAAAGGGGAATATTGAGATATAATCCAAATTTATTAGTTACTTGATTAGAAAGTTAGTTAATTTGTTAATTATGTATGCTATAAGTAACTTACTTGTATATAAACACATCAGTATAATTCAATTTCAATAATACAATTACTTTTCTTCCTTACTCTCTCTCTCTCTCATTTTCTTCTCACCCAAGTGTCTTACACACTAACAAACACATTGTCATTCTCTCATCATCATTATATGCATGAAGTCATAATAGCTGTCCCTCGTACCAACACTATAAACTTAATTTTACATTATAAAAACCAATAGATAAAGTTAAGCCTTATTCCACCAAGGGGAATTAGCCAAATCGATCAATTTTCGCCATAATATTTATCAAGGATCATGCTTCTATTCAAATCATTTATCTCAAAAATTTTAAACCAATAGATATATAATTTAGTGAAATATTGACCTACATTTACCAAAATTTTACCATGTTTTAAAACAAAAATCCTAGACTCGTAAACAACACGCAAAATCAAGAGCTTACAAAAATTTTCAGAGCATTTCAGAATAGACATTGCAATACATAAATAGTTCAGCCAAAGAGTTTAATAAAAAAAAATTTATAAGCGAGTTAACTCAATTGAGAAAAGCCGATATTGCTATGTTGGAAGTCAATACCAAGGTTCTAGTGGTTATGACCATATCAAATTATAAAAACCCGAAACTCGTATTAACCCAAGAGTTTAACAACATTAATTGATTGCAAGCATTTCATTCCAAATCACTGTGCTAATTTGTGATAGCTTTTGGAGTTGCAACTTGCAAGTAACATTTTTAACATGAATGAATGGGAAGCATTGTAAGGTAAGATACCACTTTCATTTACATTCACTTCACGCGGTGTTATGAAGCTTCAATAGTTACAAAGTCTTTGTTTGTTCTTATGCTTAGAGCATCACTATTGCTAAATTCTTAAGCAAACTTCACTTTAAGATGCATAATCCTCAATTTCACAGCTTTAAAACTAAACCATAATTCTATAAAAAAAATTAAAGCCAAAGACATTTGCATTGTAGTGCATAATGGAATAGCACTAAACAGTTTCGTTATTTTCTCACTACTTGCTGTAAGAAGTGAAAGTAATATACAAGTACAGAACAATGCCCCAAAGAAAGAGAAAAAAAAACACAGAAAAATATCCTCCATTAGCTAAATTTTAATTAGCATTCTTTGTATATAGCAATTGGACACAGAAAATCCAGTTGAATCTAAAGCTCAATTCAAGGAGCAAATCTAAAAAAAGGGTGGCCATCCAGGTGGGAAAAATGATCAATCATCAATTTATCATACACAATCTAGAAGGGGGGAAAACAAACAGAAAGAACCTTGTTATTTTCTCTATTTCACTCTTCAGGAAGAGAGTCTTCAGGTAGAGAGGGCGGCAAATCAAGCTCTGAAAGCAGGTTGTGAACTGGTTCAGAAAGCACGCGGAGTAATGTAGGCTCGGGAGGCGGTATTGACAAAGCTGAGGAAGTTGCTGATTCCGAGGCCATCAAATTCTGTAATCCAGGTTTCAATTCTTCGTTACAGAATCTCTCGTATTCGGCTCTGTCACCTCCTTTTTTCTTCACCTCAACAATAACCAAAGAAGGTGTTAGTTCAAATATCTCAACAGCAATAGTCAATGGTCCCTTCACACCTTCTCTTGTACCCTCCAAGCTAACCCTGCAATCCTTCTTCCTTACAGAAAACCTAACCAATTGAGCAATCTCCTCCAATTTTGATATGATCCTTGAAACCGGTGCAGCAGTCACAATCCTGTTCTCGTCTCCTATTTCCTCAAACAATCCAGAAAGATCAAACCCGGGGGAGAATGAAATAATGTCAAAAGCATTCAAACTAGCAGGCCTTGGCAAAGGACCATTTTTCCTTCTAGTCTCAATCTCAGAATCAGATTCTATTGAGTAATCAGAAAAAGACGCTAAGGACGCAACAGACGCAACAGATGTTACAGAAGCCGAATCATCCTCAATGTCAGCGAAATTATCATCAATACTACAAAGCCTATCATCCTCAACATAAAACTTAATCTGTTTGAACCCCTTTTTGAACCACCTATTCTCCATAATCTCAGGAATAGCAATCCTTGTTTCCGGCTTCGTATCAAGAAGACGAATAAGCAGCTTAGATAAATCCGGCGAAAACCACCTCGGACACCTAAACTCCCCCTTATAAATTTTCTTATACATAGCCATAACATTCTGATCATGAAATGGCAAATAACCAGCCATCAAAACAAACAAAACAACCCCACAAGACCAAAGATCAACCTTAGCACCATCATACCCCTTCCTAGCCAAAACCTCAGGTGCTACATAAGCAGGAGTACCACAAAAAGTATGAAACAAACCATCCTGCCTAATCTGATCAGACACAGCACTCAAACCAAAATCAGACACTTTCAAATTACCATTCTCATCAAGCAAAAGATTCTCAGGCTTAAGATCCCTATGATAAACACCTCTAGCATGACAAAACCCAACCGCGGAAATCAACTGCTGAAAATACTTTCTAGCAACCTCTTCCTTCAACCTACCCTTGGCAACCTTATTAAAAAGCTCACCACCCCGAACATATTCCATCACAAAATAAATCTTTGTTTTCGTAGCCATTACCTCGAAGAGCTGCACGATGTTGGGATGACGAACGCGGCGAAGAATCGAGATCTCACGTTTTATGTGTGCGACCAAACCTCCTTTCAGAATCTTCTCCTTGTCGATCACTTTTATGGCTACGCCTTCACCGGTTTTGAGATTCTTCGCGTAGTATACCTTGGCGAATGTTCCATGACCGAGGAGCTTCCCGATTTCGAAGCGACCCAATAACAGATTAGATGGATCCTTCTTGCTGTTGTTCGGGGTGGTTTTGAATTTTTGAGAAAGCACGTCAGCCATGGATGATGATGAAGGTGAATCGAATCGAATCGAATCTCAAAATGATGAAAAACGAGAATGGAGGTGTTTTTTGTTTTGGTTAAGGTGTAAGGTAACGAGGTTACGATGTTTTGGTTGGGATATTGGGAGTGTTGGTGGATGGAGGATGAACGAGGTTGTGGTTTCAATTTGTTTGATGTTTTCTAGGTGAGAGAAAGAGAGAGTGTGTTTTGTCTCAAATTTAGAGAGAGAATGATAAAGATGCTTTTATAAGGGGGAGAGTATATACTACTATTTAATTTTATTTTTTTATTTCTTTATTATTTCTTTATTGTCGAGTAAAAAATATCATAATTTATTTCCTATAGTTATTTTAATATCACTGAGTCGATGCCACGTAACCATCAAGTACGTTCCTTTATTATTATTATTGAGAGCGCGTGAAGGAGGAAAAAAAGGAATTGGGGTTAAATTTGAATTCAATTTGCCTCTATTATAAGACTATGCAATCATGAGTTACGCAGCATACAGTTGTTTCAAGCTATTGATTTGTGTTTATTTCTCTTTTCAGATTGTCTACAAAGAATGATCTGTAAAATATTTAATGCACCTCTAATCTTGAGCAGGCGAAAATTGTACAGCAAATGAACTTTATTTTCTTTTAAAACAAATTATTTTTTATTTGTTTTTAATTAATGCATAATCAAAGTGAATAAATTGGATTTGATTTTAAAATTTTATATATATTATATACAAGTTTATAATTTTTTAAATAACACTATCAAGGTGAGGATAACAAATCATAGGTTAAGTCTATTTATTCATCTCTAAAATCTTAAGATTGATTTTTGTCGATATTTTTTTAAAATGACAATGTACTTGTTAAAAGTATAATAGGTCATAACTTTTAATGCTTAAGGATATAGTTAGAGATTTATGATTGTGGTGTTAGAGTTTGCTCTCACATGAATGATGAGAAACTTTATATGAAAAGTTTTTACAAAATGAATTAAATCTCCTTATTAATTTTAGAATTGAAGTATTTATAAGAATCTTGAGGGTCTGAGTCTTAGATCGCAAGAGAATAATAACTGCACTTCATAATGGGTGAAGTGGATAGTCAATTCCCTATTATCAGGAGAACGTGACATTATCCTTTTTTACTCTCTATTTGCACTATTGTGGACTGGGACGTGTCACTCCCCACGTTCTCACGAATCATACGTCATATAGGAAATGGTTATATAATCAAGAAATGGGCGCCCACCCCAATAAATCAGTAGCTATGGAGTATCTCGCATGGGAAACATGTCACCTCACTTACCTTAAAAGAGTTATGTCGGGGGCCTTTACACTTATACTGATACATGGTCCCTCAAGCATGAGGTCTTTATAAAGAGCAAAGTGATTTAGTTTGCTTTATTGAGTTAGAGTTATTCAAGCGAGACTTTTAGTCGAGCCCCTCGGATGAGACTTTTAGTCGGGTCCCTTAGATGATACTTCATATTGAGTCACTTAAGTGGCACTCTTTGTTGAGTCCCTTATACGAGACTCTTTGTTGAGTCCCTTAGGCGAGACTCTTTGTTGAGTCCCTTATACGAGACTCCATATTGAGTCTTTTAGGCGAGACTCTTCGTTGAGTCCTTCAGGCGAGACCATATGTTGACTTTATGTTATGTCCCTCAAGCAAGACTCTTTGTTAAGGGTCTCTCAGGCGAGACTTTAAGTCGAATCCCTTAGGGAGACTTTATGTTTAGTCCCTCATGCGAGACTCTTTGTTAATTCCCCCGGGCAAGACTCTTTGTTGAGTTCCTCAGGAGATACTCTATGTTGTTGGTTTTCACTTTGCGAGGGAGATTTTCATGGAAGTTTAATATTTATATTGCCCCTGAAGGTGGCAAGGATCTTTTAAGGGAAGTTCATCATTTGTATTGCCCCTTAAGAAAAACAAGTATCTTTCCATGGAAGTCCAACATTTAAATTTCCTTTTGAGGGCGACAAGGATCTTCCGTAAAAGTCCAACATTTTAGATTGCCTTTTAGAGGCCACAAGGATCTTCTTGTGGCAGTCTAGCATTTATGTCAACCGAGGAACGAGATAACCTATTATTAATGACAATAAAGCTTTTCAAAAAGATTCATACACTAGCAGGATAACCCCTTCGTCTTTGAACATATAGTTGAAAAATAATTAGCTATAATAGTATCTTAGGTAAAATAAGTTCCATATCCTATGGATGCTACATACATCCAGCTCTTTGAGCTTGCAGGCTCTGTGAGGTTAATGATCATTCCTATTTGAGTTATAGTTTCCCTAGATGGGCGGCCACGATAAGTTGTTCAATTATTAGGTCACCTTCCTGTATTCCCATCATAACCACCTTCGATTTGTACCTTTTGGTTTCCTTTTACTTGGCAGTGAATTCCCTATTGTGGTCGACATCACTTATTTTGTCAACTAAGTTGGTTTCGCATCTTAGCCACGCCTCGTTCTTTTCTACATTAAATTGGGAGTGGGGCCAAGTGGGCATGTCAATTTAAACAGGAAGTAAGATGTCTACTCCGTATACCACTATGAATAGAGTTTATTTTGGTGATTGAATGAGGGGTGGTACCTGACCAGTGGTTTTTACACAGGAATTTAGCATTTATTTTAGTTATCATTTCGTTTAATTGATTGGTGTTTTATTTCATTTTACTGCATTTTATGCTTTGGTTTTGTATTTTAGTATTTTCAGGTTCAAAAGAATAAAACAGGACAAATCGGGGTAGAAAGGTGCAGAAGTCAGAGTTGCGGGAAAAGGTGTTTCAGGAGCCCTGACACGGGTGGCCGTGTTGCCTGACACTGGCCATGTTAGGGGGGGACTTGGTAAAATGAAGATAGAGAGCAAGAAATAAGGTGACATGGGCGCCCATGTCACAAGACACGGCCCGTGTTAATTCAACTGGGCCAAATAATGGAACAAAGCAAAGCACACACACTGACACGGGTGCCCGTGTCAGCTTAGGCGTGTGAAAGTCTAATTTTGAGGTTTTCCTGTATTCTTGGATCATTAAGGGCACCGAAGACATTTGGCATCACAGAGGGATGACCTGACACTACAAATACCTTATTTGGAGAAGAAAAAGAGGACTTTTTGATGATTGGAGAATTTGACGATAAAAGATTGAAGTCTATGTAAGTTTTGGGAGAACGAAGACCTTTCATGAGCGGAAGAAATTGAATATCAGAGTTCACCATTAATTTGTGTAATGTCTATCGTTATTATTATTATTGAAATCTCTTTGAATATTATGTGTGGCTAAACCCCTAATGCTAGGGGGTGTCCCTGATTTGTGAATGTATTTACTATGTGTGATACGGTGGCCAGAATCGGGACTTGTTTCCCCTTTTTTAGGAATTTGCTGGTTTGCGTTTTGCGTTTGTGTTCGCAAAATGTCACGGTAAGCAAGAGTCGTCACCGACTTTTATTTTATCCAACAAGGAAAGGAAAAAAGCACAGAAAAATTCCTTTTTCGAGATATATCTGAGTACGGGGGGTAGATTATATAAAGGGAAAGGTATTAGCACCCTTTCTATCTGTAGTTATCTACGGGCTCTTAGGTACTTGCTCATCATTTTCAAAATTGTTTTCTTTGTGTTTGTGTGATTTGAAAAGCTTTTATTTAGACTTCAATTTAACTCTTGCTTTTGTCTTCAAGAGTGTAATGAAGTGTTTTGAAAACTTTGTTTGTAAAGGAGTGTAAGTGTGAAAAAGTTTGTTTTGATTGAGCAAGTACTTAAAAGTTAATCTACCTACTCGAAAAAAGAATCGTTTTATGTTCATTTCCTTTAGACAGCGCTATCCCACCATAAGTGAGTAGGTAGCATCATCGTTGGAGTTTGAGGGTTAATTCGAAAGGGACGTACGGTTACTAAAGCAACGTTAGGACGTCTTAGTAATAACCCTAATGTCTTAGATCAATTATCCGAGGCAACAATATCCGAGGCAACCTTTCTGAGGCAACTTTGATCTTTGGACAAAAGGACGACCACTAAAGCATCCTATACTCAATGACCGTTTACCAAAGGCAACCAAGTGGGAGTGTACCCTAGGAGTGCGCATGTGCAAGTGATTCAATTTCAGATTATTTATCTTTGCACATTTTAGGGTTATCTAACCGTCTTAAAATTAATCATGCATTCTTGTCATGCATCCTAATATCTAACAGTTAATATTTTGTGGAATTTAAAATGCGGAAATTAAACTACGCTATTACAAGGCTTCGGGTATTTACATAGCCAAAAACAAACCCTTAAAAATAAAGCGATAAATGAAAAAAATCCTAATTAAACTATTACAACTTGCAGGCAGTTACATCAATATGGTAAATAATAAAACAAAAAAGCGGCGCGTTGAAATTTAAATCGGGAGAGAACTAGGGTTTTGACCCTTTCTAACCTAATTAAAAGAAAAGATTGTTTTCGTTGTTTTTAATTATTTTTAAGAAAAAGATTAAGTTTTCTAAATTAAATACAAAAATTAATTAGTAATTAAGTTAATTAATGAAAAAGTTTTTGATTAATTTTAGGAAAAGAAAATATAATTAAGTTAGAAATAAAATCCTAATTTTCTAATTATTTTTAAGTTATTTATAAAATAATTAAAGTTTTACCTAAAATTAAAATCTAATTAAATTAATAAATTTATTGATAAAAAATAAACCTAAGTCTAATTGGGTGAAAAATATTTTTATGATTTTTTGATAAAAAGAAAATAATTAATTGGTTAGTAAAATAAAATAAATAAATTAAATAAAACAAATATGTAAAAAGAAAAAGAGAGAAAGTTATTGGGCCTGAGAAGCAATTTGAAAGGGGGGTGCAAATATTCAAATCTGGGCCCAAAACAGGATGGTCCACGTTGACCCTCAGGATCTGATGCATTGCATTGACTATGACCCATTGTACTCCTTCATTGATGGCCTTTGGATCTGGCCATCTGACCACTTGGCAGGCTGGATGATCAGGTCCCATGGTGG